CTCACTAGAACTATAGAAAGTAGATCAGGCAGCTGATCCAGACGCTGCTGTTTGCGTCCTCACTAGAACTATAGAAAGTAGATCAGACAGCTGATCCAGACGCTGCTGCCTGCGTCCTCACTAGAACTATAGAAAGTAGATCAGACAGCTGATCCAGACGCTGCTGCCTGCGTCCTCACTAGAACTATAGAAAGTAGATCAGACAGCTGATCCAGACGCTGCTGCCTGCGTCCTCACTAGAACTATAGAAAGTAGATCAGACAGCTGATCCAGACGCTGCTGCCTGCGTCCTCACTAGAACTATAGAAAGTAGATCAGACAGCTGATCCAGACGCTGCTGCCTGCGTCCTCACTAGAACTATAGAAAGTAGATCAGACAGCTGATCCAGATGCTGCTGCCTGCGTCCTCACTAGAACTATAGAAAGTAGATCAGACAGCTGATCCAGATGCTGCTGCCTGCGTCCTCACTAGAACTATAGAAAGTAGATCAGACAGCTGATCCAGACGCTGCTGCCTGCGTCCTCACTAGAACTATAGAAAGTAGATCAGACAGCTGATCCAGACGCTGCTGCCTGCGTCCTCACTAGAACTATAGAAAGTAGATCAGACAGCTGATCCAGACGCTGCTGCCTGCGTCCTCACTAGAACTATAGAAAGTAGATCAGACAGCTGATCCAGACGCTGCTGCCTGCGTCCTCACTAGAACTATAGAAAGTAGATCAGACAGCTGATCCAGACGCTGCTGCCTGCGTCCTCACTAGAACTATAGAAAGTAGATCAGACAGCTGATCCAGATGCTGCTGCCTGCGTCCTCACTAGAACTAAGAAAGTAGATCAGACAGCTGATCCAGATGCTGCTGCCTGCGTCTTCACTAGAACTATAGAAAGTAGATCAGACAGCTGATCCAGACGCTGCTGCCTGCGTCCTCACTAGAACTATAGAAAGTAGATCAGACAGCTGATCCAGATGCTGCTGCCTGCGTCCTCACTAGAACTATAGAAAGTAGATCAGACAGCTGATCCAGACGCTGCTGCCTGCGTCCTCACTAGAACTATAGAAAGTAGATCAGACAGCTGATCCAGACGCTGCTGCGTGCGTCCTCACTAGAACTATAGAAAGTAGATCAGACAGCTGATCCAGATGCTGCTGCCTGCGTCCTCACTAGAACTATAGAAAGTAGATCAGACAGCTGATCCAGATGCTGCTGCCTGCGTCCTCACTAGAACTATAGAAAGTAGATCAGACAGCTGATCCAGATGCTGCTGCCTGCGTCCTCACTAGAACTATAGAAAGTAGATCAGACAGCTGATCCAGATGCTGCTGCCTGCGTCCTCACTAGAACTATAGAAAGTAGATCAGACAGCTGATCCAGACGCTGCTGCCTGCGTCCTCACTAGAACTATAGAAAGTAGATCAGACAGCTGATCCAGACGCTGCTGCCTGCGTCCTCACTAGAACTATAGAAAGTAGATCAGACAGCTGATCCAGATGCTGCTGCCTGCGTCCTCACTAGAACTATAGAAAGTAGATCAGACAGCTGATCCAGATGCTGCTGCCTGCGTCCTCACTAGAACTAAGAAAGTAGATCAGACAGCTGATCCAGATGCTGCTGCCTGCGTCTTCACTAGAACTATAGAAAGTAGATCAGACAGCTGATCCAGACGCTGCTGCCTGCGTCCTCACTAGAACTATAGAAAGTAGATCAGACAGCTGATCCAGATGCTGCTGCCTGCGTCCTCACTAGAACTATAGAAAGTAGATCAGACAGCTGATCCAGACGCTGCTGCCTGCGTCCTCACTAGAACTATAGAAAGTAGATCAGACAGCTGATCCAGACGCTGCTGCCTGCGTCCTCACTAGAACTATAGAAAGTAGATCAGACAGCTGATCCAGATGCTGCTGCCTGCGTCCTCACTAGAACTATAGAAAGTAGATCAGACAGCTGATCCAGACGATGCTGCCTGCGTCCTCACTAGAACTATAGAAAGTAGATCAGACAGCTGATCCAGACGCTGCTGCCTGCGTCCTCACTAGAACTATAGAAAGTAGATCAGACAGCTGATCCAGACGCTGCTGCCTGCGTCCTCACTAGAACTATAGAAAGTAGATCAGACAGCTGATCCAGATGCTGCTGCCTGCGTCCTCACTAGAACTATAGAAAGTAGATCAGACAGCTGATCCAGACGCTGCTGCCTGCGTCCTCACTAGAACTATAGAAAGTAGATCAGACAGCTGATCCAGACGCTGCTGCCTGCGTCCTCACTAGAACTATAGAAAGTAGATCAGACAGCTGATCCAGATGCTGCTGCCTGCGTCCTCACTAGAACTATAGAAAGTAGATCAGACAGCTGATCCAGATGCTGCTGCCTGCGTCCTCACTAGAACTATAGAAAGTAGATCAGACAGCTGATCCAGACGCTGCTGCCTGCGTCCTCAGTAGAACTATAGAAAGTAGATCAGACAGCTGATCCAGACGCTGCTGCCTGCGTCCTCACTAGAACTGTAGAAAGTAGATCAGACAGCTGATCCAGACGCTGCTGCCTGCGTCCTCACTAGAACTATAGAAAGTAGATCAGACAGCTGATCCAGACGCTGCTGCCTGCGTCCTCACTAGAACTATAGAAAGTAGATCAGACAGCTGATCCAGATGCTGCTGCCTGCGTCCTCACTAGAACTATAGAAAGTAGATCAGACAGCTGATCCAGACGCTGCTGCCTGCGTCCTCACTAGAACTATAGAAAGTAGATCAGACAGCTGATCCAGACGCTGCTGCCTGCGTCCTCACTAGAACTATAGAAAGTAGATCAGACAGCTGATCCAGATGCTGCTGCCTGCGTCCTCACTAGAACTATAGAAAGTAGATCAGACAGCTGATCCAGACGCTGCTGCCTGCGTCCTCACTAGAACTATAGAAAGTAGATCAGACAGCTGATCCAGACGCTGCTGCCTGCGTCCTCACTAGAACTATAGAAAGTAGATCAGACAGCTGATCCAGATGCTGCTGCCTGCGTCCTCACTAGAACTATAGAAAGTAGATCAGACAGCTGATCCAGATGCTGCTGCCTGCGTCCTCACTAGAACTATAGAAAGTAGATCAGACAGCTGATCCAGACGCTGCTGCCTGCGTCCTCACTAGAACTATAGAAAGTAGATCAGACAGCTGATCCAGATGCTGCTGCCTGCGTCCTCACTAGAACTATAGAAAGTAGATCAGACAGCTGATCCAGACGCTGCTTCCTGCGTCCTCACTAGAACTATAGAAAGTAGATCAGACAGCTGATCCAGACGCTGCTGCCTGCGTCCCTACTAGAACTATAGAAAGTAGATCAGACAGCTGATCCAGACGCTGCTGCCTGCGTCCTCACTAGAACTATAGAAAGTAGATCAGACAGCTGATCCAGACGCTGCTGCCTGCGTCCTCACTAGAACTATAGAAAGTAGATCAGACAGCTGATCCAGACGCTGCTGCCTGCGTCCTCACTAGAACTATAGAAAGTAGATCAGACAGCTGATCCAGACGCTGCTGCCTGCGTCCTCACTAGAACTATAGAAAGTAGATGAGACAGCTGATCCAGACGCATGCTGCTGCCTGCGTCCTCACTAGAACTATAGAAAGTAGATCAGACAGCTGATCCAGATGCTGCTGCCTGCGTCGTCACTAGAACTATAGAAAGTAGATCAGACAGCTGATCCAGATGCTGCTGCCTGCATCCTCACTAGAACTATAGAAAGTAGATCAGACAGCTGATCCAGATGCTGCTGCCTGCGTCCTCACTAGAACTATAGAAAGTAGATCAGACAGCTGATCCAGACGCTGCTGCCTGCGTCCTCACTAGAACTATAGAAAGTAGATCAGACAGCTGATCCAGATGCTGCTGCCTGCGTCCTCACTAGAACTATAGAAAGTAGATCAGACAGCTGATCCAGACGCTGCTGCCTGCGTCCTCACTAGAACTATAGAAAGTAGATCAGACAGCTGATCCAGACGCTGCTGCCTGCGTCCTCACTAGAACTATAGAAAGTAGATCAGACAGCTGATCCAGATGCTGCTGCCTGCGTCCTCACTAGAACTATAGAAAGTAGATCAGACAGCTGATCCAGATGCTGCTGCCTGCGTCCTCACTAGAACTATAGAAAGTAGATCAGACAGCTGATCCAGACGCATGCTGCTGCCTGCGTCCTCACTAGAACTATAGAAAGTAGATCAGACAGCTGATCCAGATGCTGCTGCCTGCGTCCTCACTAGAACTATAGAAAGTAGATCAGACAGCTGATCCAGACGCTGCTGCCTGCATCCTCACTAGAACTATAGAAAGTAGATCAGACAGCTGATCCAGATGCTGCTGCCTGCGTCCTCACTAGAACTATAGAAAGTAGATCAGACAGCTGATCCAGACGCTGCTGCCTGCGTCCTCACTAGAACTATAGAAAGTAGATCAGACAGCTGATCCAGATGCTGCTGCCTGCGTCCTCACTAGAACTATAGAAAGTAGATCAGACAGCTGATCCAGATGCTGCTGCCTGCGTCCTCACTAGAACTATAGAAAGTAGATCAGACAGCTGATCCAGACGCTGCTGCCTGCATCCTCACTAGAACTATAGAAAGTAGATCAGACAGCTGATCCAGACGCTGCTGCCTGCGTCCTCACTAGAACTATAGAAAGTAGATCAGACAGCTGATCCAGATGCTGCTGCCTGCGTCCTCACTAGAACTATAGAAAGTAGATCAGACAGCTGATCCAGACGCTGCTGCCTGCGTCCTCACTAGAACTATAGAAAGTAGATCAGACAGCTTATCTAGAGGGGAGATGGAGTGAACATTTGTAGGACGGTAGCTCTGGACATGGGCCCCCTGCTCCTCAGGGAAGGATTAACATGTTGCTGTCAGAGATGGCTGCAGAGAGGGAAACCATCTGAATGTTGAGGTGTCTGGGAACTCCATGCAGCTCTCTGAACGGCACGTTTTCACAATATGTTGGATTTCTGCTGCTTTTCCAGGACCTGGGGACGATGGTGGAGCAGCTGGCCCGCTTCCTGGGGGTGTCCTGTGACAAAGCTCAGCTGGAGGTTCTGGTGGAGAACTGCAACCAGCTGATCGAGCAATGTTGCAAGTCTGAGGCGCTGTCTATCTCTAGTTGTGAGTGCGTTAAAACATAAAGCATCACATCCATTCACCTATCATTGAATGATTTCACTGCTTCTCTTTGGTTCTTTTCAAATGCACATTTGGTTGATCATGTTTTTACCGTGTTTGTGATCATTTTCTACCTATGTCGTTAAGAGCCTGCAGGTCTTCATCTGGTCACTACCTACTAGTAGCTGTAATAGCTAAATACTAAAGCCTTATTTACCTTCAAACACGATTCTGAGCAGACAGAAAATCCATCAAGAAGAAGAAAGCTTAAGTTTTAGGACTAATTTCCAAATTCAGTATCAGAGAGGAACATCTGTCTGATTCTCCGTTAAGAGAATCAGATTCAATTCAGCATCTCTAAATTGATCCAGCCTAAAGTTTTCGGTTTCATAACAGCTGCTATGAATTAGTTCCATCAACTCCAAGTAGAAACACTCAGAGTTTAACACGTGCGTAACAAGTAAGAAAAGACATTATCAGGGGAGCCCAGATTCGATGAGTCAACAGGCAACAGGAAGTGCCTATTCCACCCGTCTGAAATTAAATATATTAATGCAGAAATGCAAAAAAAATAAATAAAAAGAAAGGAAAATATGTTAAAAAGACAGAGAAAAAGCGCTACAGCTGCAAAGGAGAGATGGAGAAGGAGAAGATTGTTAATGCATAAGTTTATATGAATTGGTCTATGGCAGGCAATATTTACATTTATTAAAAGCTCTCTCCTCTCTGTTGCTCCATTTATACACTCACCGGTCACTTTATTAGGTATACCTGTCCAACTGCTCGTTAACACTTAATTTCTAAGCAGCCAATCACATGGCGGCAACTCAGTGCATTTAGGCATGTAGACATGGTCAAGACAATCTCCTGCAGTTCAAAGCGAGCATCAGTATGGGGAAGAAAGGTGATTTGAGTGACTTTGAACGTGGCATGATTGTTGGTACCAGAAGGGCTGGTCTGAGTATTTCAGAAACTGCTGATCTACTGGGATTTTCACGCACAACCATCTCTAGGGTTTACAGAGAATGGTCCGAAAAAGAAAAAACATCCAGTGAGCGGCAGTTCTGTGGGCGGAAATGCCTTGTTGATGCCAGAGGTCAGAGGAGAATGGCCAGACTGGTTGGAGCTGATAGAAGGGCAACAGTGACTCAAATAACCACCCGTTACAACCAAGGTGGGCAGAAGAGCATCTCTGAACGCACAGTACGTCGAACTTTGAGGCAGATGGGCTACAGCAGCAGAAGACCACACCGGGTGCCACTCCTTTCAGCTAAGAACAGGAAACTGAGGCTACAATTTGCACAAGCTCATCGAAATTGGACAATAGAAGATTGGAAAAACGTTGCCTGGTCTGATGAGTCTCGATTTCTGCTGCGACATTCGGATGGTAGGGTCAGAATTTGGCGTCTACAACATGAAAGCATGGATCCATCCTGCCTTGTATCAACGGTTCAGGCTGGTGGTGGTGGTGTCATGGTGTGGGGAATATTTTCTTGGCACTCTTTGGGCCCCTTGGTACCAATTGAGCATCGTTGCAACGCCACAGCCTACCTGTGACATGATTCAAAGGTAAACTCTGGCGCAGACACAATGCGAGTAGGAAGCAGTTTTTGATTGTTTATTGAAAAGTTTTACAGAGTTAAGTTCAGCCTGGCGTGGTGGTTCGGATTACTGCGGCTTCATCTGGAACTGCGCGGAGAGAGATATAAGTTAGATGCAGGCAGGAGGATCTGAGTTATTTAGAGAAGATGCTGATTCCTTACAGTTCTTGGAGAGCGGAGCAGCTGGAGGGGAGGTTGGATGAGCCCACAGAGATTGAGTCTTTGGCGGAGATGGAGGGCTTCGACCTGAGAGCTCCAGAGGGTGGACAGGCAGGTGAGCAGTCGAGGGAAGGATCCAGGAAGACTGGGAGGAAGACCGGCTTGGAAACAGCAAGGCTTCTAGGAGAGAGAAGGAGGACACGGAGGTAAGCTTAAGTCAAAACTATCTTGTTCAGTCTTAGGAGAGCTAGCAGGTAGGTTACCACTGTGTGGAACTTTAACCGACTGGCGTCCGTCCCAGGGAATCCACTCCTCTAAATACTGCTCCCTGATTGCGTCCAATTGGAACCAGCTGGAGGCTCGTCAGGACTGGAGTCTAAGGAGGAAAAGGTAAGAAAGAACCCTAGCACAGCTCAGCACACAATCCAGTGAGCCCAACAGTACCCCCCCCCCCCCTCAAGGGACGCCACCTGGCGGACGAGTAGAAGAAGACGCCGAACGGCGCTCAAAGTCAGAGATGAGCGTGGGATCCAGAATGAAGGGGCGCGGAACCCAGGACCGCTGCTCCGGACCATAACCCTCCCAATCAACCAGATACTGGCAACCCCGACCCCGGGGGCGGACATCCACAATGCGGCGCACAGTGAAGGCAGGGTGGCCGTCAACGACCCGGGCGGGTGGAGGGGGTCTGGACGGAGGGCACAACGGGCTGAAAGACACAGGCTTGACTTGGGAAACATGAAAAACGGGATGGACCCGAAGGTGAGAAGGGAGCCTCAGACGGACAGTGGTAGGACTGATGACAGCTTGGACAGGAAAAGGGCCCAAAAACCTAGGAGACAGTTTACGGGAGCACCCCTTAAGAGGGAAGTTCTTTGATGAGAGCCAGACCTGTTGCCCAGGGGAATAGACTGGAGCAGGCACACGCTTGCGGTCAGCGATCTTCTTGTTGAGAGCAGCGGTACGGTTCAGGGCAGCTCTGGTCTGGTCCCAGATCCGGCGGCAAGCCTCCATGTGGTCCTTCACAGAGGGGATGATGGCGTCTGGAAAAGAAGAGGGGATGAGGGATGGCTGATAGCCAAGAGAGGCTTCGAAAGGGGACAACCCAGAGGAAG